TGGAAACGTGACCCTCTGAACAGAGGGGTCAAAGTGTAAACCTAGGGAAGGGCAAGCGGGACTTCACCTGTGCAAACCCATCGGCATTTGTGGCTTATATTTGGTGGCTGTGTGTTTTCACAGAGCAATGGTACATCCTTATTTGTGTTGTCCTGCCTTTCAGGTGCCAATTCCTTACTTTTTTTTTTTTATTTTTTAAATGTGCTCAGCCCTTCTATAAGAAAGCAAAGTAGTTGGAAAATTTATTGAGTATTTTTTCTTGGAGCTTGCTTATCTGTTAATCTGACTGTTCACCAATACAGTTACATCTCCCCAGATCAGTGGAGAATAGTAAACCTCAAAGTAAACAGGACAGCTTTTGCCATGGAAACAAAAGTTGCTAGGGGATGGATTGCTACTACGCAGTGGTGTGCTCTGAAGCTGTGATCATACAGCCCATGTGTTCCCAGGCACCTCGGGTTTAGGCACTGAAAAACTTTTAATGGTTAAACCGCTTCCTGCAGCCTGGGTGCATGTTCTAAGCTCATGCGTAACGCAGATTTGGGTAATGGTGACTTTTTTTAGCAAAAGTTTCCCGCCACCTCAGCATTTAGTTTCTCAGCCATGAAGGTGAGACACATCAACACTCCAGAGATCCTAGCTACTGCAGTACTTATTCATCCAATGTAAAGTGATGCTGTGACATGTGTTTCCTTCTTATTTATGGAGAACTGTTTTCTCCCACCATACTCTGACTGTTTCAGTTCCTCTCCTCCATCTGTGAGTACCAAGGACAACAACATTATGTTTACATTGCAGCTGAGAAAAGGGACCATCTTAGGCCAAATTACCAGGATGCTTCAATTAGTCATATAGGGCTGAGAAGCCACCTTCTCTTTTCTCTTAAGAGACAAGATATTTTGCAAAAGATAGGAGATTACTTAAAAATGGCAGAGTCTGAGAATAAAGGTGGTGTTCAGTAGGACTAATATTATGCAGTGCTTGAAAAGAATTAATAATGCTGGCATTCCTTTTTTATTTTTTCCTTCCATTTAAAAAGGTCATACTACTTGATGCTACCACAACTCTTTCAAGCAGAAGATCATTCTTTTGTTTTCTACTCCACCTCCCAGCTCTTGTTTATCATTTTGCTCATATGCCTGACCAAAACCACCTATGAGCATTTTAGATTGCTAAAGAAAAAGTGATAACAGGCTGTGTGGTTCTCACAGGCAATTCTTCATCAAGCTGTTAGGAAGACTACACCCTCCTTTCTTGACTAAACCTACAGACAGTGCAGTGAGTGCAAGGTAGGGTTTATACAGCCTTCTGCCACATTACATTGAGTTTCCTTAAATTAATTGCACTAACTACATCTGTTGCTAGTTCAGACTCAGCAATGTGCTCCACCTGCTTTCTGAATTCTGGAGAAACCAAAGACACTCTAAAATTGTCTTCTGGTGGCAGGTGGAGTAATGCAAGCAAGCTCTGGCAGGCCGCATTATCTGATCATGTTAGGTCTGATCCTTTCCTGTGGTGACCTTATGAAGTCACTTACACCTGGGGAAGATACTTCCTTTTCTGCTCATTATGTGGTGCTAAATAAGTTTACCTGAATGACTTAAGTTGGCAAGGACTTAAGCATAATTTATTTCATAGAATCATAGAATGGTTTGGGCTGGAAGGGACCTCAAAGATCACCTAGTTCCAACCCCACTCCCATGGCAGGGACACCTCCCACTAGACCAGGTTGCTCAAGGCTCCATCCAACCTGAAGTAGGATTTTTAAGGAGGTAGCGTTGATGTGAGAATAAAGATTGATGTAAGGACCCAAGAGAATGAGTCCCCACAGAGCTTTGGTCAGCATCTTTACTTTCTTCTCTTCCTGATGTGGGAGACGGAGCACTTGATTGCTCAGAACCAAAAGACATGTTGAGGGATATGGACATAAACTATTCTTATCCTTGAGGCCTAGGCTGTGTGACCCTGTGTATGAGAGCTGGGACAGCTATGCTAAACCACCAGTGCCTCATGCTCTCCTTTCACCCGAAGGTGTGTATGAGGTGGGCAGAACTCTGGTTTTATGAGAACTCATCAGTGCTTGTCCTGTGGCAGGTGGCAGCTAGCTGTTGAAGAAATGGTGGCAGTGAGAAAAGACTTCTTTTACTTTCTTTTCAGGTAGGGAATAAACAGTTGAAGGAGGGACTCCCAAGGGAAACAAGAAGAGCTCTTTTGCAAAAGAACAGACAGGCTCCCAAAGTAAATGGCTTTGAGCGTTTCCCCACAGGAGTTCAGATTATATCCTTGTATCCATGCTGCTTTTTTTTTTTTTTTTTTTTGTACCTCAAAAAGTAATAGTGTTCTGAAGCTCATAACATTGTAAAAAAGCACAATGAATTTTTTTTTTTTTCAATATATCAACTGTAGTAGGAAACGGCAGTACTCGTGATGTACAACGTGACCTGGGGTGGCCTGGGTGCCAGGCTCTCCCTGCTCACCTGCTGAGCAGCTGGTGCTGCCCAGGAGTTTACTGCTATCTCAAGGTCTTTGTCTACCTTGGCTGTTTCTCTGCCTTGCCTGGGAAGGCCAGCACGTTGAGCACACTCTGGAGGGCACTGATGCTGCACCATCAGCAGAGAGCAAGCCCATCTGCAGAGTCAGAGCGCTGCTTTGATTTCCTAACACTTCACAGTGGCTGAAGTGGAAAAGGAAAACCTGCAGGGGATACAAAGGCAGTTGTTCTGAGTTCAAAGAAGGGGCCCCTGCTAGAAGCTGTGCCTGGTGCTACCCTTACTGCTCTGCAAAGCTCAATCACCAGCACTGTCCCCCTCCTCTCCTGGAGGGAGCTCTGGCCCGTGCCAGGGCCCCCAGCATTGTACAGACCTCCTTCTCCACTCTTGTCATGACTTCTGTGAGAGCCTTGAAACCTCATCAGGAGTCACAAGAGAGATATTTGCAATTGTAGGATGTTGAGATCATGAAATCCCCAACTAAATACATATTAGATACACAAAATATATAAAACCCAACAATTACTGTTTTTTCTAAAGAAAAAGCAAACTCTTCACTATGCCTGACAAGAGCACAACCAGATGCCAAAAAGCTGTTATACCAGTGGTGATTTCAGAGCCAGCCAAGAGCTTCATTCAGGCAGTTGCATCAATACTTTCTGGCTTCTGCTTAATTTAAATGCAGCTTCACACCCAGCAAGATCACCCATTCCTGAAAGGCAAAGGGCTGCTGAGCTGCAAAACTGGGAGGTCCTAGCTGCCATGAGCATGTCAAACCAACCTCCCTCCCTCCCTCCCAGTACAATTGCCATGGCAATCAGATTAACTGCTTGAAGCAGATCTAAATTGAGCTGTGACATTCAGATGCAAGTACTGATTAGTAATTCCCTTTGGACTAAGACTTTTTGAACTTCTTTAAAGAGAGAGGTCAGCCAGCTTAAGTAACGTTGGCCTGTTGCTCAGGTTTTTAGGGGCTAGTATTACTTCAATGAATTCAGTAGCATTGCACTTGTGCAAGCAAGTTCAGGCCTGGGACCTGCATAGTTAAATATGAATTTCTGTGTTAGAAGAACTTCCATGAAGTGGACAGGGTAGGGAACATTGTTGGTAGTTTTCCAGGCAAAATTTTTCAGGCAAAATTCTGATTTTGTTAAAGTCAGCAGGAGCTTGGGCATTGACTTCTCCAAGGGAGCAGTCGTTTGCCACAAGCTTAGTATTTCCATTTCATTCTCTTCAGTGAGCAGATTGGTGCTGTTACGGCATTCCATCTTTCTCATTTTTAATTATCCATATTTCAGTACATGATATATACAGTTTCAATCTGTCTAGGACTTATTTTGCCTCTCTTTCTCATGGCTGTGACTTCTATCAGTGCTTAGTCCTGCACTTCAAAAGCTCTGGCAAAAACATTAAAAAACCCTTACCCAGCAGCTTGGCAAGTTCCTACAGTTGCAAACTCTAGTTAACTGATAGAAGCAGTCTGGATGAGAGGCAACATGAACCCTTGAGGGATGCTGGCTTTTCTTACCTGAAATGTTCTGCTTTTTTTCAGTCTCCATGGAAATGCAGTAGCATGCTAGTGCGAAAGATGGGGGGTGGGCACCCTGCAGGCAGGAGGGGATGGTCCCTGCAGCACCTTTAGGCTGTGCTGTGCCAATATGCTTGAGTGCCTTCGGTTCACTTGATCTGAGTCACCTCATGCAACTCTACCAGGCTCATTTCTTGGTTTGAAAACCTGGGCTGCTTTTCTTCATGTCATCTGGAGAGTCTGTAGCCAGCTTTGCTCTCCCACCGCATCAATAACGACCTGCTTTGCATGAAACCTCTCATTGCAGGTAGGAAGGATGAGCTCCTATGCTGACATCTGTGGGTCCAAACATGTGCAGGGCAGCGCCGAGGGAGGGTACCAACGCTACGGAGTCCGTTCCTACCTGCATCAGTTTTATGAGGACTGCACAGCTTCAATTTGGGATTATGAGGATGATTTTCAGATCCAGAGATCGCCTAGCAGGTGGAGCTCTATGTTCTGGAAGGTATTGCCTGTTGCGGTTTACTGGAGAGAGAAACTCTCCTTTCAAGATTTTCCCACATAACTAATAGTTTTAGGTATTCATCCAGAAAGGGCTTCTGTTGCTCAGTTTTCCCGAAGTTAACCATCTGTCTGAAAGCAGGCACTCTTAGCAAGATAGATCAGCTTCCAAGGGAGTTCTGGGGTCTCTGGATCCTGTAGTTTCTCTGTCACATGGAGCCACATCACTCAAAAATCAAAGTCATGTCAGGGAGAGCCCACCCATGGCTTTAAAGTGTAGTTTACCTCTGCTCTGCATCCACAAAAGTCCTGCCAGGTTATTGGGAATAGGACCGGTAGGCTAACAGCAGTGACTCTGGGACTGCGTGACCTAGGGACCAAGAAAACCGCAAGATCTCTGTTAAGCTCAGGGAACTTGACAGAACTGGGGAACACCCGAGGCTGGAAGGGGCCTGTGAGGCCATCTAATCCAACCCTCTGCTTTGATGATAGGGCCGTTCTGTGTGAACCAAATTTTGCACTTCCCCTTGAAATGTGCTGGAAATACTCTGTGATCCGTTCACAGCAATAGCGACTTCCTCCTAATCCCTGCAATGGAATGACATTTCACAGAATAAAAGCAAGTGGTGGGTATGCCACAGACTGTCAGCAGGGACTGAACTGTTGGTGCTAACCACCACCTAAAACTAAAGAAATAGTCAGTCACACAGTACTGGAGTTAAACTGTGATCCTCTCTGTGGTTGGGCCTTTGGACATGAAATGCTATTTAGATGTATAGGTGCATATTCCATTGTTTCCAGAAGTGTCAATACCAAATTATATAAATATGGGTTGTAAAAAGACAGTTTCTCTATGCATTCTAGTTCTAATAGGGCCACATATGACCTAAAAAAAAAAAAAACGGCCCTCTGCTAGAAGAGAGAATTGTACCTGCAAGCCTGTGAAAGCCAAATGTCTCCTAGGACCAACTGAAAACTGGAAAGGCATATTAATTAGGTTTGTTTGTTTGTTTGTTTTCCAGGTTGGACTCATCTCTGGGACGGCTTTTATGCTGATAGGTTTAACAGTTATTGTAGTGGGTTTTCTTGTGCCACCGAAAGTCGAAGCTCTTGGGAAAGATGATTTTGTTGTGGTGGATACCCGTGCGGTTCAGTTTAATGGGTCCCTTGATATATGCAAGCTGGCAGGGGCCATCTTGTTTTGTGTAGGAGGGTCCACCATGGCAGCATGTCTGCTGATGTCTGCTTTTGCTAAAAGTTACTCCAAAGAAGAAAAATACCTCCAGCAAAGATTTAAAGAGAGAATAGCTGATGTAAAAGCCCATGCAAACCCAGTCACAAAAGCACCAGCACTGGGAGAATCAAAGATACCTGTCACTTTGTCCAAAGTTCAAAATGTCCAACCTTTATCTGAAACCTGACCCTTTCCTTAGGTTTTGTTTCTCACTTGTAGATGGAGTTTACTTCACGACTTTAGCTGGAAAACATCAGCTGTTGTTGGCGTGTGTTCTAGTCAGTTACAACATCAAGTTCTCTGCTAAACACACAGCTGAGGGGGAAGCTGCTCCAGTACAAATTTAGGATCAGGAAGAGGGAAATTATGTGATCAGACCTGTGACCAATATATTCATTGTATTCGAACATTTTAATCTATGTTGAACCAATAAGTCCTTGCAACAACGATTAGGTGTTTAGCTTATCAGATCACATCCCTGGAAAACATAGGGTGCATTTATGACAGCTGTACCAGGAACCCCCTATATCCTATTATTTAAAGTTTAGATGAGTTGGCTTTTCGTTTCATTTTCTTCTTGCCTTTAAAATACTGTTTAGTCTTTCTTTTGCCGCCTGGTTCTGCTGCCTGGGAAGCCAAGATTCTGCCCTTGTGATTGCACTTGTCCTCATGTCGCATGGTACAGCCTGTATCAAAGTAATACTGAGCAGATGAAACGTACGTGGCCGTGAGCGCCCTTCATTTGATCCTGGTGCAGGTCACTTCCCAGCAACGTTACTTTCTGGGAAAGGCGAGTTGTACTTGATCCTGAGTTACAATTAACCTGTGCAGAACTGCCACTTTTGTCTGAATCATTGTCATATTAACAAAAGATACAAAATAAAATTAACCTGTGCAGAACTGCCACTTTTGTCTGAATCATTGTCATATTAACAAAAAATACAAAATAAAGATAAGGAATTCAGATGGGAGGAGGAACATCATCCTTGTGTATCTTTGGTTTGATGTTGTTTCTTTTGTTATATTGTATTATGTTGGAAGCTCACACAAAATGGACATGGATGACTAAATGTGGTTTGACATGCCTAGGCCCCATATTCTGTCAGTACGTTAATGCTGTGTTAAATGACCTTAACATCCTTATCTAAAGACATTTTGAAATGCTGTTTATATTTTTATAGAGGATAGAAAAAGTTATGCTTAACCAGATACATTTGTGTAAATGTTTACCTGAAGACTTGTCCTTTCATGGAAGACCCTTAATTATTTTTCCTACCCAGGGCAATTATTTCACTGTCTTAATCTATAGATTAAACTGTATAAAGAAAGATGTGATATTTGTACTCTCTGACAATACGTGCCACCTTATAGTTCTGTCTATTTTTTGAATGGATTGAATAAAATTCTAGGTGTGAGCCAACCATGGATTTTGTGAAAAGTCTCTTTCTAGTCAAATAGGCTTATCTATAAACTTAATATTCCAGTCTGAAAGGAGAAAGCAGCAGTTGAAACTCACCAGTCTCTTAATCCAGTCTGTGTTTGCAGCTTTTGTAGGGAAGGAAGTCATTTTGGTGCTGAATCGGAAAGATTCCATCCAGCACACTAACAACAGGTACATGGTAACAGCTGTGCTCCTTCCCTTAAACATTTTGTGGTTGGTGACTCTGTTCATATTTCCAGAACTTAAATAAACCAGAACAAATGTGTTTGGAAGTTTCAGCTGAATCTGCAGTAATTATCGTGGCTGACAACAGCATTAGAAGTAAAATTTTGTTATGCAAAGCCAGTGCCTGTCTTATCAATGCCATTTCACTGTCCAAACGTTAGCACTGAAAAGATGGACAAGCAAGAGCTTGTCACAGGCACATGATCACAGAGAATGAAATGAAGTAGGTTTTGGTGCATCTGACAGTTAACTGGCACCCAAATATTAGATGTGCAAAAGCACATTGCACCTGGTGCTTAAAAGTAAGAATGTAATCTCAGGGGAGAAGCAGATGAAGCAGTGCTAGAGAGGAAAAGATGAGAAGACTGGTAAAGTGAGGAGCTGTGTAGTTATTTATAAAGCAAGCCAGCAAGACAAGGTTGGTGGGTAGCAATTACTCACAAGGCACATGGTAGGATAGGGACATGGGGACAGCCTGTCACTGCTGCCGTTCATTTGTCGTTCAGGTGGAGAGGGTCTTTGGTGCTTTGTTTTCAGGTTGGGAGGAATTTTGTTTACTGCCATTAGCTTTCACTGCTGTCAGGCTATCAGTGTGTGAGCAGAGCAGAGTCAAGCTGTCCTGACCTTTTCAGTGGAGAGTTTTTAATTAAAAATTGTGCATGGAGGAAATGCGACATTTTAAGTTTTACAGTGAAGTTCACCAAAGTAGATGAGAGCGAGGGTTCCTGTAGCTATTACTGAGTCCCCTCTCTCCATGTGCCTTTTGTTAACACGGTGTTGGAAGTTTGACTGAAAATTCAGCTGGGAAAAAAAGCACAGGTTGGGCTTGTTTACCCAAAGTAGCTACAGGGGTATACAGTTCTTCTTAAAACACACCCCACATGTAGATACACATGTGCAAGTGTTGCTAAATTTTTGTCCAGAGGACAGCTGACCCAGCAGGTAATGAATAGAGCTGATCCAAGCGGTCGCGTTGCGCATCGCTCCTGTGGAACTGAACGTGCTTTGACAGTACGAGAGAGAGGATGAGTCACGCCCAGCATTACCCAGGTGTTAGGGGAAAAAGAAAAACCCTTGAGGATCTTGCTGAAGCTTGCTGGGATTGGAAATGCGTTTGGGATTTGTCAGCAGCAGCAAAGCTGGTAACGCTGTCATGGCTAACGTTGCCACACACATTTCATCTCATTAAACCCTTGTTTCAGTTGCTTAGAGGCTTTCCAAAATCAAGACCTCCGGAGGCTGCAATCCTTCACAGCAGAGGATCCGTGCTGCACAGGGCTTTTGTAGAAATACTGAACAGAAAATTACTCTGTTATTAGTAAGAAGCCACATACTGGAAAGGCTAAGACATGTTGAAAAATTTTTCAAGATCCATTTCCTTGTGATGTTTCAACACCTTCATCCTGTCGAGCAGGAACTCAAGCATCAGCAAAAGAGCAGTGGAGATGTGCTTTTTGCTGTTCTCAGGGAAAGTGCCTGTGATACGGCCTCCAGCTGGGGAGCAGTGAGGGGCAGCCAAGCTCCCTGGGAACTCTCCAGGGAGGCTGAGGGCAGTCTGTTCCTGCACATGTCGTTTCCCAGCATACATGTTTTTCCCCTTTCCCATCCCCACCAAACTGCAGTGCAGGCTCCACTCTGGGACTTCCCCTCCCCAGCACTGGCTGCCACCACCGTTCCAAAAAAGCACATTAATGGACACTCTGGTGCAAATAAAATATGCCTTAAGCAGTGAAGCTCTTCTTTTTCCAGCCCTCTGACCTCTCCGCTCAAGAAGCTTCATGCTCACCTTATTTCTTGCCCCTCTTTGAGCCTCATTTGTCTTAAAATTACAATGCAACCCTTCTTAGCCCAGCACCATTTTCTCTTCACTTGTGGCGAAAGAAATCACATTTTTTCAGTGTGAGTGGTAATCACTGCCTTAATTTTGGGTAATACATGCTCTCCTGAAGGTTAAGTCTGCTTCTCCTACCACACTGTGCAGAAAAGGCTGCTCTTCAGCATCCCTTCTGTCCTCCCTTCCACTCCAGGCTGTCTTGACCCCTTTCTTTTCCATTTCTTCCCAGTGCACACTGAATCACAGGCAAGAGATGCAGAAACGTCCCCTCCTCCCAAGGTGCCTGTAGGAAGATTTAATTCCCAGTTTCTGCTACAGCCTCAGCCTGCCATTTCCAAGTATGAGATTTTTAATCATGTGCAAGGGCGAGCAAACAGCTCTTCACAAAAGCAGCAGCAGCACCAGAGTGGGGAGGTGGCCGCATCCTGCCCAGTGGCCAGCAGAGAGGTTTGACAGGGGGTGAGCAGCAGCAGAACCTGCATACCGGGGAGGCTGATCAGCCTCTGAGGACGTGAAATCCAAGGGAGACAGTAAAAGACTGCCAGAACCTCAGTTGGATGCACTTCACCAGCAGCTTTCTATCAAAGGGCTAATAGCAGAACAACAATTTTGGTAAAATAAAGGAATTGGTACGTTCACTCATTCAGCACTGACTGGTCATCCTGCCATTACACAGCAAGCTGCCCTCTCAGCTCACTGACGTCACAGGTAGCGAGACAACATGATGCTCCCTGAGCAGGCTCTGGAGACACAGCCTTACTCCCTCCTTGCCCTACCACTTCCACAGCTGAAAGAAGCAGCATCTCTGCAGAGCATTACCCTGCGCCAGTCATTTGGGGTTAATGCCCATGCACCACTTAAAGAAATGATGTTTGAGTTTTGTCAGGTCATCCCCATAGCACAGTTTGTCCCTGAGGAACATCACTGCAAATGGGGAGACTAACATGATCTCCTTCTATTTCCGATATTTTAGAGACCACGCGTCCTCCCTCTGGAGCCTTCTGATCTCCAGGAAAACAATCCATCCATGCACCGATTATTATTCTTCTTGTGTGGCAGACCACACAGCGTGCACTTCCTGCATCAGTTCACTTGATAGAGGCAAAGCTCAGTTGTGCTGTCAGATAATTTACAGAGGGATTGGTATGAAAATAATCTCTGCATATTAATAGTAGGTGAGGCAAATACTTACAGATGGAAGAGACAGCATCGTAACTTCTTTTATTGTTTTGTCTAACAATTAGCTGTTTTTTGAAGGCCCACTTTTTCCATCATTTACCATTCATGGGCTTTTGCAAATAAAGATGTGAGATCATTTTTAAACACCACTAATAAGCTAGTCAGTTAATAATGTACTAGAGATGCTGCTCCAGCAATTTCAGGCTGAAGACTCACGGCTTCAGGCCCTTGCCTAGCTAAAGGCACCCCCAGCCTGAGGCTTTGCTGGAATGTCATTATTTCCCTGCATCTGCTCACCTACCGACTTCAGCATCTGCTGCCCTTTCTCTCCCTGCCTGCTTGAGGAACCTCAAGCCCTTCTTAAGCCTCCATGTCTATTTTTGTGAGAGCAGCAGGGGTGAGGCAAGAGGGACCCCCGCCCCAGGCGTGTCTTGGAGTGGGTGCAAAATGTGCCTGCCTGAAACAGTGGCATGGGGGAGTCAGGTCTACAGCACAGGCAGGAGGGAGCTGAAGGGGGAGAGAGGCGAGCAGGAAGGAATCCCCAGGGCAAGCTGGTGAAACACAGCATTTCAAGCACCGGTATTGGTCACCTGTCAATGAGTATCAGAAGAGACAGTCAGTGAATATTGAAAGCACAGAAAACCACTGCAGGTCTAAGACCTGTG